TGACGTAAGAAACTTACTTTTTTCGGTACAAATATATGAAATTTCGTTTTCGGCAGCGATAATGGTGTATGCGGAAATGAGCCTTTAAACTTTATCGGCGTGGTATACAGTCGAATTAGTATTGTATATATAGCTATCATATAGCTATCTCAATTGAAAGAGATTAGAAAGCTTTAGCATTTGAATCAAGGGCTTGTACATGGACCATTAACAGCCATGATTTCAGGGTGTTCTTGCAAGTCACCAGGAGCGGTGTTGAGTCTTCTCTAGCTCAAATTATAATTGAAAAAGTACCCTCGAGGTATGGAGCTACAGTTCATATCGAAGCCTCCAAAGCTAAAACGTTCTAAATGTACTTAGAAAGCATTTTTAGAATCTACGTTTTCTTATGTAAATACTGTCAAAATTTGGTTCCGATTCGCCGTTCTTTTCGGAATTTATAACATAACAATATAGATATAGAAAATTACAGTTTTTAAGAGTTTCTTCCGAAAAACGATTAAGTCGCAAATGAACTTCGTTGGAAATCTGACAAGAATTCATCAATATCTTTAAAATAATATAATTAGACCCCATCTGATTCATCTAAAGGCAAAGTTAATAATGAAGGAGTAATGAAACTCAGCATCCCTTTTAGGCACGTGTTTCTCACTTCCTTGACCCATAAGTGTCGTAGTGCACCTTCCCTTTTTCCAATTTCAGTTGTTTTTCTTTCAACACAACAGGCTTCTTTTAAATTTATGATTAATTACCAGAAAATATTATTTCTCTCATTAATTGCTTTTAATTAAAAGTAATCCTATTAAAACTTTAAGATTGTTTTTTGCCAACAATGCTGGAAATCAGATGAAAAGGAAGAGAACGAACAGCGAGGGGGGAAATTAAATGCTATTTTTTAAGTTTAAATTTAAAAATGTTCTTTTTATTTAAAAATTGTTTTTTTTGTGGTATTGAAAATCATTGTTTTTTTTTAACCCTTAATAATTAAATGTGTTTGAGTGTTTTATTCTTATTTCCTTTTTTTCATGTTGTTTTGTGACTGGCACGTGTTGTTTACAAGACACAAACATTTGCCAGAAACTTCATAATGAGCAACGTTAGGCATCATCATTGTGAAGCAAGTTGTTTTAGTTTTTTGTTTAAAATTGCGAAAAAGTATGGTAGTGAACTAACAGGTGCCTGTTGTTTGAGTAAAATGTACTAAAAATTGCAAAAGAGCAAAAAGAGAGCAAATACATAACACTCAGAGAATGAATAGAGGAAATAAACAAAACACACTTATATGCAAACATGTTTAAATTGGGTATAAAGTTGTAAACAGAGAACAACTAATAAACAGCTGTTTGTAAGTTAAGAGAGCTAAGTACGGAGTAGTTAAAAATGTAAGAGTTGCTTTGCAATTTTAAGAGAGAGTAAATATTTAACATACTTTTAGGCTTACATTGTAATATAAATGTAAAGTAAACTTTAAGGGATTTTTCGTTTTATTCCTGTAGTAATGCTAGACTTTTAGCAAAACTTTTTTGCTCTGCTGAGTATTTACCCAACAACTAACTAAACACCATGCTGCGACTTTGTTACAGAGAATGTATTTGAAAGTTTGAAAATTATTATTGCTGCCAGCTAAGGGTTTTTCTTTTTATTGCCTGTTAGAGCATGTGTGTGTGTGTGTGTTTGGTTTTTTTGCGCTGCTGTGCCAGACCAAGGTGTTATACGAATTTTCGAAAATCCTAACAAGTTTAGTACAAATTTTGCTATCAAAACGTACGGATGTATAAAGCGGATTTTTTTTTCTTAAACGCGCAAAAAAACCAGGAAAATTCCTAAATATTTGAGTGTTTTAAAAACGATTAAAATTAACGTAATCATTAAAATTTTAACGTAAATGTTAAAAATATTTTTAAATATTTTTTTTTAATAAATAAAAATAATTCTAAAATTCTAAATTTCTCTTAAAAAAAAGCAAATAATATTTGCTGTTAATACTTATTTTTTTAAGTTTTAAATTAAAAATTCTTGAGTTTGTTGTTTCTTTATTGTTACTATATACCCTACTTGGTTGGCTGCAACAAAATTAAAGTTTTGTAGCAAGATAAAAATAAGAAAAATCCCAAGGAATTTATATTGCTTTTCAGTTACCAATATACGTGTTATGTGTATGTATGTTAGAAGTAAACGTACGTGTGTGTTTAAACCTAATAGTGCAAGTGTTATTTTCCGTTGTTTCTATCCCTAGATAGAGTGTATCCTTCAAATTCTAAAATATTAGTGTTCTATAAATTTTAAATTTCATTTAACACAAGAAAAAAATAAAGAAAATTCATTTATTTAAAAAAAATTTAAACATTATTTAACAAACTTTTATTACTTTCCTTAACATGTTTCATGTTAAGCTTATTTGATCTCCACAAATACACAGCTGTTACTGTGATTTAAAAAAAAAAAATTAAACGCGTTTCCGGTTTATTACTTATACACATACAATTTTATTCATCTTCGTTTATTTATTACGTTTCGTTGTTTAAAAAGAAAATTGTATATATAACGCTTGGAAATGTCAAGTAGAACATCAGAAAAGTGTTTAAGTGCTCAATTAATAAAGCAAAAAATTTAATAAGAAAGCAAAAGCATATATAAAGAGTAAAGAAAAATTAAGAAAATTATATACAAAAAAATATAAATAAATAAAAATCATTGCAATAAGTAGTTTCTTCATCTCGTGTCAACAGCAGCAGCAGTATAACAGCCCTAGCAAAGTGGAAAAAAAGTATGTTTTCTGTGTTTTAAAGTTGGAAATTTAATTTAATTATGTTTAGTAGTTTTAAGTGATATCAATATGTTGTTGTGTTTTAAAGTTTATACTTCATTTAATAGTTATTTTAAGAGTTTCTTGGGAAATTTACTTTAAACGTATGTTTAAACAATACATTTCACTTTACTATAGCATACTTTAAGGCAGTCATTTTTAATTAGCTTTTAATTAATGTCTGTTTATAAGTTTATAAATGTTAATGAATACAAATTACATTAAAAAAAACAAGTAAGAAATTATAGTCGGTCGAGGCCAACCATATAATACCCTACACCTGTTACAAAAATAAAATGTGATTTAGTTTTCATAATAAAGCATTTAAGTTGAATTGTAGCTTGTCTCAGATATACTTAATCCATTTATTGTTGTGGACATTTAAGTCAAATTTTGAAGGGGTCTTTTTATAGGTGCAGGGTCAAATAAGGCCCTATATTTATAAAAATCATGAGTCATTAAATCTAGTATAGAACTTGGTTTTACAGCTTTTTGTCGAGATAGGAGTATATTAAACATAATTATGAACTTAAAAGACCTATTCGGGGGTTCAGTTGTATGGGGGCTGGAAATAATGGACCGATCTTAACCATTTTCAATAGGCTTGGTCTCCGGTAACATAGAAGTTATGTGCCAAATTTCATTGAATTATCGTCAAAATTGCGATCTGTAGTTTGATTAAAAGGTGTACATGGACGGACGGACAGACTCAATCGACTCAGAAAATGATACTAAGCCGATTACTATACTTTAGGATGGGTATAGGACCAATATTGTGTTACTAGCATCAGCACAAAGTTGTGTAGGGTATAAAAAGACGGAAACAAAATTAATTAATAAACCTTTTGTACAATTAAATAGGTTTTTAATTAGAATTATGTTGTAGTAAAATTCAAGATAAACTTGTGAAAGTGATTTAATTAAGAAATTTTAATAGTTTGATATAAAGTGTTGTACTACAAAATTGATACCAAAGTGGCTTCGACAAAATTTTAGAACTTTAACTGTTCTATTTTCTCTGATATTCTAATTTAATATTTTATTTATATGGGAGGTGCCACACCCACCATGTTCAGAAACTCTGTGTTCTGCATGTAAATCCTTAGAAATCCTAAAGGTTGTAATGTCTAAAATAACGAGATATTTGAGTTTCACTGAATTTTCTGTATGTATTGGAAATATTTGAATCCGTTAGTCCGTAAGCCTGTGAGTCCCTAAGAACATGCATTTTCATACAAATAACAAACTCTGAAGAGATTTCATGTCCTACTCTTGTTGGGGTCAACCCATTCGATTTTAATGGTGCTACATATTGTTATACCATACACCACTTTAGTGGGACACTTAAAAATATTCGTTCTATAACCACCTTAAAATATACCAATCGGCTTAGAATCATTTGGATTAAGCTATGTCCGTCTGTCCGACCGTCCGTCCATCTGGCTGGTTGTCTATGTAAACCTTGTGCGCAATTTTCAATATAATTCGATGAAATTTGATACACGCACCGTTTTTAGTCCAAGCACAAGGCCTATTGAAAATGGTTAAAATCGGTCCATTATTTCACCTAGCCCCCATACATGTAATGGTCATAGTCAAACAATGTTTGTTTTTCTTTTGCTTAGTAAATTTATTTCATTTGGAAATGGTGTTGTTCATAATATCCAGAGAAAAAAAAAAAAAAATTTGCAGTAGTGCAAAGTGAATGTAATTTTCATGACTTTTCTGAAAACACTGCTAATACAACTCCTTCTAAATGCATTCCTAAATGTAACAATAAAAATTCAACTAATTTCATTAAAACGTCAAAACTTAATTCAGATTGTTGATTTAAGCAAATGAGATTTATGTGTTATTATAAATAATTTTGAATATTAATAATTTTCAATATTTATTATATTTTCCTGTAAACCATTTAAAATGTGTTTCGAAAATATATACAAATAGTTTGAACCCATGAAACATCGATTTCGAGTCATCGAATTTGCATTAATTCGATTATTCGAAATTCTCGAATAAACACATGATCTCAAATGACAAGCTAATGTTAAAATTATATTATGAACCACTTCATCAACACTTGCATATCTGATTAAATTACATCGTTGTCATGTAACTTTTTGCTGGGACAAAGAAATCACATATTCGTGATTAACAAACAAAACATTTACCAAAGGCATTTAAAGCAAAAACATTATGTTCTTTGTTTTTATTTCCAAAAAAATATCACTTAAAATGTTAGTTTCTATCAGAATTTTATCAGCATGTACAAAAATCCCATCAGTAGATTTCGTGGCCCCTGAACTGAAAATCATAAAAGACAATTAACTTAGTTAATGGTCATTAGCAAAACTTAGAATAACAAGTGTTTACAAACCTTATAAAAGAGTAATTTTGCTGAATAGAGTCAACATTAAGAGTTTCATTGGTTTGTTTAATCAATTAATTATTATTTGTATTAAGCAAGATTTTTTTTTTATTTTATAACATTATTGTTGGACTTTGCATCTTTAAACATATGTATTCAGCTATTTTCTTTTGATCTTGTTTTATCTTAATATCTACTGTTCATCATTCTTGCTGTGGTATGTTTAATAACAGATGCACTGCATTATCATTCATATCACTTTTAGTTTTGTCATGCATGGAAAAATATGTCTTGATATACAGTCAATCAATTAAATAAATTAAAATAGAAATTATAATTACAAATTGAAAGGAAAAAGAAAATAATAAAAACTAGAGATTTTACTTAAATAATCTTACTACGATTTTTTTGTTACAATCTCAACTACTTAATTTTTTAATATTAAACAAATTTCTGGTGATTTTTATTCTGGCGATTTTAAGCATTAATATGCAAAAAGTGATATCCACAAAACGATTTAATACTATTTCTATACAACAGTATTTTTGCACTCTTTCTACCATTCTTGATCCCGTTTTAAGATATTTCTAGAACCAGAATTTACTTTTGATTAATATTGGATTGGCGTCTTTCTTTTGGCTTTTTGACTTCAACCTATTAAAACCTAAAACGTGCTAAGTGATTTTGAAGAAATTATAATTTTTACAAAAAGTGTATAAAGTGTTATAGTTAACAACTTAAATTTAAATTTCAACAAGTGAAAATATAATAATCCAGATATCGGGTAATATTTCTTATTGAATTTAATTCTATTTCGAAATGAAATGAATTTAAACAAATTTTATAGAAAATTTGCCTAAAAAACTGTACTGGACCACGTTTCACTTTCAAGTCCCGTTGTTATATAACTGTACTGGACCACGCTTCCTTTCTCAAGTCCCGTCGTTACATAATAGGCATACTTGCCTGGGACTTGGAAATAACAGTTGGAAATTTTAGTGTCTATATTGTTCGTCTTGGAAAGATTAGGTAACTATATTATATGGCATAATATAAAAATTTCTAAATTCTAATGGGAAACAATTCTTATACATTAGATTTAAACGATTTAAACGACACATATCTCATGAAAAAGTGGTAACAACATCCAGCAGTATTCAACATTTCAACGTGATTTGTAACCAACTAAATACAAGAAAAAAAAAGTCAAAGGAAGAATTAGGCTTCAAGATAAATTCGGAAAAGTAGCAAAAGCTTGGAAGCATCTTCAGAAAAGTTTGCCAAAAGTCCAGTAATCAAAATCTAACAATATAATTTAAATTATTTAACAAAATCCTAAATATTACATATCCAATTCCAATCTAACTTAAATTTTAAAATCACATTTCATACATATTGAGATAACCTAAATTTTTGAAAATGGTTTCTTAAAAACTAAAATAACTCAACCAAAACTTAAAATCATTCGTAAAAAAACTAAACTAATCTAAACAAATCAATCCAAAATTTCTTAATTTTCTAATATTTTAACATGAAAATTCTAAAAGTTTAAAAACAAAGCTCATATTTTCAAAATTATTAACTTAACCTAATATCACAATTTATTTCTTAAAAACTAACTTTAAAATGTAACATAACAATGTAAAATCTTCAAAATAAGTTCTTAGAAAATTTACAATTTGATAACAACATGAAATGAATTAAACAGGCTAAATATTGCACCAAAAATAAACAAAATGTTAAATCAAATTATAGTTTAGGCATGATGAAAACTTTTGAATTTTGAAGATTTTTTCTTTAGACTTGAAACCTTAATGAAACATCACAGATCTAAAATCTAATTAACCTATGTAAAGAAAATTGTATTAAATTCTCTTTACTCTTAAAACCTAGTATTGCACAATATTTATATTTAGTTATTATATTCTAATACTAACCTAAATGGCAAACTATAGAATAATGCAAATCAAAATTTAATTTACTCATTCAAAAAGAAGTCATCAAAACCACATCAACGAATTATTGCTGGAGGCCTTCATCAAGTCGGTGTGATGCGGTAAGTCAGTTAAAACATTTTTTTTATTATTATTAGTTTTGCATTATCTTTAGTAAGAAACAACATTCAACATAAGGCAATGCAGAGTATCATTATGTTAAATAACAGTGTTCATTATGTTATTGCTTAATTAAACTGATCTCTTTTGCAAATTATGTTTACTCTTGAATTAAATCTCTTTGTGATAACTAACACTTACTTGTTGAATTTTGTTTCTTAGTTTTCTTTTGTTTTGCCAAAAATTATTACTCTTTAAAACAAGAAAGATATTTGTAATTTAAACCTTTATGAACCTTATGCTAAGATTTTGTCTTTGCGGAATATGAAACATATAGTTTATTCTTTCATTATACTTCTATTGAAAGTTAATTTAAATAGTTTCTAATAGAACATTATATTTAAATTTTGTCTATATTCTAATTTATTAATATGGTTAATGGGCTGAATAAATAATTTTGTAAAATGGAATGCTAATTTAAAATTTTCGGGTGTTTTCTTCAAATGGATCGAATAGTTTAATGTATAATTGAAAGTTTAAGCTCGGGATTTCTTTAATTTGCCTAGGAAATTATGGAAGGAGAGGGTTTTGAGGCCGTATCTCAATCAACATCATCTAGAGATACATATTTAAGAGTAATCGGTTAACATCCGCACTTTTTTTCTACTTTCAACATGACTAGATGAGGGGCAAAATTCGATGGTATTCATAAGTCTAGTTAGTCTGGTCCTGACACCTTTTTTATCAGTCACAAAATAGGGAGTCTATAATAACAAGTGTAATTGAACATGCATTTAGATAGGGAAGGACCGAACCACCCCAAACCGACTGTTGCTAGCAACATAAAGGCTCCCGCAGTCCTCTCTCTACTGAATAGCCCATACCCAAAACGAGTCAATTTGTGTTCACAAGTTAATTCTGATTGGAGTTATTTCTCGTGTGTTTATGTGTATTTGCAACATTTTCACATAGAGCTTTGATTTGTACATTACATATATAAATGGCGCCCAACGTGGGGCACGAAAAAACTTAACAGTTTTTTCTGCTCTATCTACCCGGAAGATTATTAGAGTTCATTAATTCAAAAAATTTAAAGTTCTTAGATGGAGTAAAACTAGATCTATAAATAGTGTATAGGGTTATTCTGGATTATTTCGGTTATTTGAGGATTAACAGTTCGAATATACTGACCGTTTAATACCTGTATGCCATTTTATAAACTAGTGGAGTTCTTTCTAAGAAATTTATAGATTTTCCGAAGTCTTGTACAATATTTTAAATATTTTTAAGTTCTACAATACGGTAACAGCTACTAGTGTACATAAAAAGGAATTCATATATTGTGCTGTATGCGAATATTTGACCGATGTACATTAGATATAGTTAAAGAAAATACGTGTTATTAGCTGTGGTATTTAAATTTAGAAATATATTTAATATTGTTCAATACTCCATAGCCCAGTTTTTCTATTTAATGTTAATCGATTTGATTCTATTTATTTCAATTATAACATAAACTAATGATCCTTAAGAAAACACCCATTTGAATATTGTTTATACTTAATATAAAAAAAATACTTTTTTAAAGGTAATTGAGTTACGTTTTTGAATGTTATCTGAATTTTCTAATATTATTAAACTGAACGATCAAACAACAAAAAAACGTTTAATGTAGATAAATATAAATTTAAAACTATTGAATTGAAAATATTTGTTTTTCGTGAAATTTGTTTTACAAAAGTGGTGAAAAAGATTTAAAAATCAATTCATTTTAGGTATCAAGATTTGTATCTATATGTTGTCAAACTTTGTTTTATTTTTAATGTTTAAAAATTTTCATATAACATGCGGTTTTTCATATTCTTTCGTTTTATTCGTTATAATCAAACACGAACACATTTTCTGTTGATACAATTGCATTTTATAATTTCAATATCGTTTTTGCTTCCACCCTACTAAATTTCGTAAACCTAAGCTAAAAAAATTTGGTTATTTTTTTTTTTTTTTGTTACAATCTATGTGTTGAGAAAAATTTGAAGAGTAAGTTCCACAGTGTATGGTAGCTATTCATTGCTTCACAACAACTGAAATAAAGACTATTTCCGTATTTTGCTTGATCTGATTACAATTAAAATTTTAGTGAGTTTTATTATTGAATTAAAGACAAGTTAGTATTGCGTATTTGAATCTTGCTAGAGTTTATTAAGAACTCGAATGATCTGGTTTATTAGATAAACAGATATTGGAAACTTAGCTATTTCTGTTATGTCCTATTAACTTCAGTCGATCGAGATAAACTTGCTTGCGTGTTTTGACCAAACCCTTAATACTTTTCAATTTGAAAATTTATAGTTTGATAATTTGTTACTGAATTTTATTCATATATTCAAAATGTCGGTAGACAGAACTCCTCCACCAGCAAATATTCCACCACCATTGCCTCTGGCTCCGATTTACATAGAGCCTTCGGTTTGTCATGTGTGTACGGAAACAATGGTCGAAGGAGATGATTGTTTAATCATTCATGAATGTTCGCACGCGTTCCATAGATCCTGTATTGAGTCACATCTTTCTACCAGTTCTGAATGCCCGGTATGCAAACGTGCATGTCGACTTTGTGACTTACGTAGATTGGTAATAAACGCTAATGCTGCAACATTTAGACCAACCATTAAGAAAAAAGGCAGGGGTGCTATGGCACGAACCTACAATACACGTTCAACTTCAAACCGTAATCTTTTTCAAGAATCCGATCCTTCTAATACTGGCGAGACCAGTATGTCTCTGGGAAATGAACCTGAAAACACACAACTAGCTACCAATGATATTCTATTAGACACAACTGGAAATAATAATAACCGTATAAATTCTCCAATTCAAAATCCAGAACATTTAATAAGAACACCGTCTAACAATAATAATTCTAGTATTGATTACGATCAAATTAATCGTTTAATCGAAGCCAATATTACGAAACTTTTGCAAAATATGAATATTATGCAACCAGTTAGCAACAACAATAATCAAAATAACAACAATGCCAATACACATCAAAATGGTTATGGTTCGCAACGTCCAAATACCCAAACCAATGTCAACATTCCTTATATTTTCTCACCATTCGCAAATTCCAATTCTAATACTGGTACAATACATGCAGACAAGGTTACCTCCGTGATCCAGAATTGGAACCTCAAATTCGATGGTTCATCAAACGGATTGCATGTAGAAGAGTTTCTGTATCGTATTAAATCATTAACCAGGGATACATTCAATAGTGATTTCACTATTATCTGCAAGAACTTGCATATCCTCTTAACAGGAAAAGCCCGCGATTGGTACTGGCGGTACCATAAGCAGGTCCAATCTGTAAACTGGGATGATTTTTGTGATGCCCTGCGATGCCAGTATAGACAATATAAAAGCTCTTTTGATATCCGAGAGGAAATCAGAAACAGGAAACAAAAGCCTGGAGAGTCATTCGATTCCTTTTTCGATTCCGTATTGGTAATTATGGATCGTCTCCCGGCGCCCATGTCTGATTCTGAATTGATCGAAATACTAGCGAGGAATCTGCGTCCTGATATCCGCCAAGACTTATTATACGTTCCCATACACTCGATTTCACACTTACGAAAACTCGTACAAATGCGAGAACATTTCTTAAATGATGAGAGCGTTCGCAAAAATCTTTTTACTCGCAGCCAAAATCAGAATATGCCACGTAGATATCTATCTGAAATAGATTCAACGAATACTAGTGACAATGTTCACGAAGTTGAAGAGTTAGCTTGTTCTGTTGACGCTGTACAGGGTCATGAAGTTGTGGTCAAGTGTTGGAACTGCGATGAGGTAGGCCACCACTGGGAGAACTGCCTCAAAGACAGGACCATATTTTGTTATGGTTGTGGCAACAAAAATGTATATAAGCCTAACTGTAGCAAATGCGCAGCAAGAAAACTCAATAGTTCAAAAAACTATCGGCCGATAGGTCCTCCAAAGGACATGAACTAAGTCCTAATACAAAACAAAATTTCATTTCAATTAAAGTAAAGTCCAAATGTGACAAAGAAACTCTTACAGATTTCAAAATACCCTGCTATGACAATTTATCCCTTGTTTGTAACCAAACTGAAAAAATTACTCTGCTAGAACGTCCTAAAACCTATACCAATGAACCAAAACTTGAAATATCGAAACTTATTACACCAAAACTTCCATACCATGAAAGATTACAATTGTACATGCAAAAACGCAATGAAATATTTAACCTGTCTGAAATTACAGAATGTAAACCATCGAAATCTAAACGGTCAACTGTTCGTCTTAGAAAATATTACAAAATGCGAAAAACTTGTCGAAAACTTCTTATTTCTGCTATTGTGTCAAATCCAAAGGATTTGCGTTATTACGCAAAAGTGAAGTTTTTGAATTTTGATGAATATGGTCTCCTTGACACCGGGGCCAATATTAGTTGTTTAGGTTCAGATTTAGCAGAGATTGACTTTTCGAAATTCCCATGTTATACAAAATGTAAACATTACGTTAAAACGGCTGATGGTCATTTACAATCAGTTTGTGGATGGCTGGATGTAGAAATCTTCTTTAAAGATCAATCGAAAACCTTAAAACTTTTTATTATACCGTCGATATCTCAGAGATTGATTTTGGGAATCGACTTTGTGAAGTCCTTCGCTTTGTTTCCAGACATAGTTGGGTCTGTAGATATACTTACTTTTAATAATTCGTCCAACTCGTCCTTGTTCGATTTATCCGTTCTTTCAGGTAAGTCCGAAGTCCAGTCCGATAAAACAAATCAGTCTAAAACACCATTAGACGAAAATTCCTATCCACTTTCGCATAGCCAACGTTTGCAGCTTAACGCTGTCATTAACTTGTTTCCGAATTTTGAAAAACAAGGGTTGGGAAGAACCAGTCTTATTAGACACTCAATTGATGTTGGCAATGCCTCACCAATTAAGTCAAGGTTCTATCCAGTTTCTCCTGCGGTCGAGAAACTGATGTACGGTGAACTAGATCGTATGTTGGCACTAGGGGTGATAGAACCTTCCACATCCCCCTGGAGTTCACCTATGCGTTTGGTTTTAAAACCAAACAAGGTCCGATTGTGCCTAGATGCACGTAAGGTTAATGCTGTAACCATAAAGGATGCATATCCGCTTCCAAATATTGAGGGAATATTCGCAAGGCTTCCAAAGGCGAATCTCATAACGAAGCTAGATCTGAAGGATGCCTATTGGCAGATTGCCTTAGATGACAAGTCCAAAAGTCTGACAGCATTCACAGTCCCGGGTCGGCCACTCTACCAGTTTGTAGTTATGCCGTTCGGGCTGTGTAATGCTCCACAGACTATGTGCAGACTTATGGACGAAATCATTCCTCCGGACTTAAGGCACTGTGTCTTTGGGTATTTGGATGATCTAGTTATCGTTTCAGAAGATTTCGAAACTCATCTTGAAATACTAGTACGTATAGCCTCGCAATTTCGAAAAGCTAATCTCACGTTAAACATATCTAAGTCCAAATTTTGCGTAACATCGGTAAACTATTTAGGATTTGTGATAGGAAACGGGGGAATTACAACGGATCCCGAAAAAGTTCAAGCGATAAGAGATTGGCCCACTCCCAAAAACTTAAAACAAATTCGCGGTTTTCTTGGATTGGCGGGGTGGTATCGTCGTTTTATTGAAAATTTCTCAACGGTCGTTTTTCCAATCACGGAGTTGTTATCGACGAAAAAGGTGTTTAAATGGACAGAAGAAGCCCAGAAAGCATTCGAAAATGTTAAACTCTTGCTCACCTCCGCTCCTGTCTTGACAAACCCGGACTTCCGAAAGAAATTCTTCCTTCATTGTGATGCTAGTGATTTCGGTATAGGTGCAGTTCTGGTGCAATTGGACGACCAAGGCCAAGAACGTCCAATTGCATACATGAGTAAAAAGTTAAATTCAGCACAACGAAATTACAGTGTCACAGAGAGGGAATGTTTGGCTGCAATGGAAGCTATCAAGCGATTCCGGTGTTATTTGGAAATGCAGGAGTTCGAGGTGATCACAGACCACTCTAGTTTACTGTGGTTAATGCGGCAACCAGATCTCAGTGGCCGGCTTGCAAGATGGGTGTTTAAGCTGCAGTCCTATAATTTTTCAATTAGCCATCGTAAGGGCAAAGATAATGTGGTCCCCGATGCATTATCACGGATTCCAGTAAACGAAGTTGCTGCCTTAGAAATAATTGAACCAGAGATTGATCTTGAATCTCCCTATTTTTCAGATCAAGAATATTTAAATCTGATACAAAAGTACAATGAAAATTCAGCGAAATATCCAGATATAAAAATCCTAGATAAATACATTTATTATCGAACCGAGCATTATAATGGCAACGAAAACCAAGAGCAGTTGTGTTGGAAACTATGGGTACCAGTAAGACTACGTAGAGATACTATCTCAAGAGCGCACGATACGCCTGTGACAGCACATGGTGGGATGGTGAAAACACTGGAGCTATTAAGGAGAAACTTCTTTTGGCCTGGAATGGTCCGAGATGTTCGCAATTATGTTCGACAATGTGAAATCTGCAAAACCACAAAAGCCCCTAACTTTGTAATGAAGCCACCAATGGGTAATCAAAGCGTTTCCATTCGACCATTCCAGCGCCTCTACATAGATTTACTGGGCCCATACCCACGCAGTAAATCCGGCTACATTGGCCTCTTAATCGTGCTTTGCCCCTTAAGAAAATTTACGTCGAATCTAATCCAAGAGTTCTTACAAAAACACATTTTTCATGTATATGGCGTACCAGAGTTCATTGTCAGTGATAATGGGAGCCAATTTCGCGCCAACGATTTTAACGCTTTTCTGACGGTCAACGGAATCAATCATACTTATACAGCGTTATACTCCCCCCAATCCAACGCATCGGAACGTGTCAACCGATCTCTTATCGCTGGAATTCGAGCTTTTTTAAAGACTGATCATCGTCTTTGGGACGAAAAGCTCAGTGAGATCAGTTGTGCCCTTCGTAATTCCTACCACCAGTCCATAAATACCTCACCTTTTTATGCTTTGTTTGGATTTAATATGATTACGCACGCTACTTCATACAACCTACTACGTCAGGTAAAACTTCTAGATGAACCCTCGGCAAATATTGCCCATGCAGATAATCTTCAAATTGTACGGGAGAATATTCGAAGATCGATTAAAAAAGCACATGATCGGAATACTCACCAGTACAATCTTCGATCAAAACCCCAATCTTTTCAGGTAGGTCAGGAAGTATTTCGGCGAAATTTTGTCCAAAGTAATTTTGAAAAGCGTTTCAACGCAAAATTATCACCTCTTTTTATTAAAGCACGAATCAGGGAAAATGTTGGAAACAACTATTACATATTAGAAGACCTTCAAGGAAAAATAATAGGAACCTATCATGGAAAGGACATAAGACCATAAACTCCCTTTTTTCCATTCAATTTTACATCGCATTGCTCTAAAATTGCTTGGTTTTGTAATGGTCATAGTCAAACAATGTTTGTTTTTCTTTTGCTTAGTAAATTTATTTCATTTGGAAATGGTGTTGTTCATAATATCCAGAGAAAAAAAAAAAAAAAATTTGCAGTAGTGCAAAGTGAATGTAATTTTCATGACTTTTCTGAAAACACTGCTAATACAACTCCTTCTAAATGCATTCCTAAATGTAACAATAAAAATTCAACTAATTTCATTAAAACGTCAAAACTTAATTCAGATTGTTGATTTAAGCAAATGAGATTTATGTGTTATTATAAATAATTTTGAATATTAATAATTTTCAATATTTATTATATTTTCCTGTAAACCATTTAAAATGTGTTTCGAAAATATATACAAATAGTTTGAACCCATGAAACATCGATTTCGAGTCATCGAATTTGCATTAATTCGATTATTCGAAATTCTCGAATAAACACATGATCTCAAATGACAAGCTAATGTTAAAATTATATTATGAACCACTTCATCAACACTTGCATATCTGATTAAATTACATCGTTGTCATGTAACTTTTTGCTGGGACAAAGAAATCACATATTCGTGATTAACAAACAAAACATTTACCAAAGGCATTTAAAGCAAAAACATTATGTTCTTTGTTTTTATTTCCAAAAAAATATCACTTAAAATGTTAGTTTCTATCAGAATTTTATCAGCATGTACAAAAATCCCATCAGTAGATTTCGTGGCCCCTGAACTGAAAATCATAAAAGACAATTAACTTAGTTAATGGTCATTAGCAAAACTTAGAATAACAAGTGTTTACAAACCTTATAAAAGAGTAATTTTGCTGAATAGAGGCAACATTAAGAGTTTCATTGGTTTGTTTAATCAATTAATTATTATTTGTATTAAGCAAGATTTTTTTTTTATTTTATAACATTATTGTTGGACTTTGCATCTTTAAACATATGTATTCAGCTATTTTCTTTTGATCTTGTTTTATCTTAATATCTACTGTTCATCATTCTTGCTGTGGTATGTTTAATAACAGATGCACTGCATTATCATTCATATCACTTTTAGTTTTGTCATGCATGGAAAAATATGTCTTGATATACAGTCAATCAATTAAATAAATTAAAATAGAAATTATAATTACAAATTGAAAGGAAAAAGAAAATAATAAAAACTAGAGATTTTACTTAAATAATCTTACTACGATTTTTTTGTTACAATCTCAACTACTTAATTTTTTAATATTAAACAAATTTCTGGTGATTTTTATTCTGGCGATTTTAAGCATTAATATGCAAAAAGTGATATCCACAAAACGATTTAATACTATTTCTATACAACAGTATTTTTGCACTCTTTCTACCATTCTTGATCCCGTTTTAAGATATTTCTAGAACCAGAATTTACTTTTGATTAATATTGGATTGGCGTCTTTCTTTTGGCTTTTTGACTTCAACCTATTAAAACCTAAAACGTGCTAAGTGATTTTGAAGAAATTATAATTTTTACAAAAAGTGTATAAAGTGTTATAGTTAACAACTTAAATTTAAATTTCAACAAGTGAAAATATAATAATCCAGATATCGGGTAATATTTCTTATTGAATTTAATTCTATTTCGAAATGAAATGAATTTAAACAAATTTTATAGAAAATTTGCCTAAAAAACTGTACTGGACCACGTTTCACTTTCAAGTCCCGTTGTTATATAACTGTACTGGACCACGCTTCCTTTCTCAAGTCCCGTCGTTACATAATAGGCATACTTGCCTGGGACTTGGAAATAACAGTTGGAAATTTTAGTGTCTATATTGTTCGTCTTGGAAAGATTAGGTAACTATATTATATGGCATAATATAAAAATTTCTAAATTCTAATGGGAAACAATTCTTATACATTAGATTTAAACGATTTAAACGACACATATCTCATGAAAAAGTGGTAACAACATCCAGCAGTATTCAACATTTCAACGTGATTTGTAACCAACTAAATACAAGAAAAAAAAAGTCAAAGGAAGAATTAGGCTTCAAGATAAATTCGGAAAAGTAGCAAAAGCTTGGAAGCATCTTCAGAAAAGTTTGCCAAAAGTCCAGTAATCAAAATCTAACAATATAATTTAAATTATTTAACAAAATCCTAAATATTACATATCCAATTCCAATCTAACTTAAATTTTAAAATCACATTTCATACATATTGAGATAACCTAAATTTTTGAAAATGGTTTCTTAAAAACTAAAATAACTCAACCAAAACTTAAAATCATTCGTAAAAAAACTAAACTAATCTAAACAAATCAATCCAAAATTTCTTAATTTTCTAATATTTTAACATGAAAATTCTAAAAGTTTAAAAACAAAGCTCATATTTTCAAAATTATTAACTTAACCTAATATCACAATTTATTTCTTAAAAACTAACTTTAAAATGTAACATAACAATGTAAAATCTTCAAAATAAGTTCTTAGAAAATTTACAATTTGATAACAACATGAAATGAATTAAACAGGCTAAATATTGCACCAAAAATAAACAAAATGTTAAATCAAATTATAGTTTAGGCATGATGAAAACTTTTGAATTTTGAAGATTTTTTCTTTAGACTTGAAACCTTAATGAAACATCACAGATCTAAAATCTAATTAACCTATGTAAAGAAAATTGTATTAAATTCTCTTTACTCTTAAAACCTAGTATTGCACAATATTTATATTTAGTTATTATATTCTAATACTAACCTAAATGGCAAACTATAGAATAATGCAAATCAAAATTTAATTTACTCATTCAAAAAGAAGTCATCAAAACCACATCAACGAATTATTGCTGGAGGCCTTCATCAAGTCGGTGTGATGCGGTAAGTCAGTTAAAACATTTTTTTTATTATTATTAGTTTTGCATTATCTTTAGTAAGAAACAACATTCAACATAAGGCAATGCAGAGTATCATTATGTTAAATAACAGTGTTCATTATGTTATTGCTTAATTAAACTGATCTCTTTTGCAAATTATGTTTACTCTTGAATTAAATCTCTTTGTGATAACTAACACTTACTTGTTGAATTTTGTTTCTTAGTTTTCTTTTGTTTTGCCAAAAATTATTACTCTTTAAAACAAGAAAGATATTTGTAATTTAAACCTTTATGAACCTTATGCTAAGATTTTGTCTTTGCGGAATATGAAACATATAGTTTATTCTTTCATTATACTTCTATTGAAAGTTAATTTAAATAGTTTCTAATAGAACATTATATTTAAATTTTGTCTATATTCTAATTTATTAATATGGTTAATGGGCTGAATAAATAATTTTGTAAAATGGAATGCTAATTTAAAATTTTCGGGTGTTTTCTTCAAATGGATCGAATAGTTTAATGTATAATTGAAAGTTTAAGCTCGGGATTTCTTTAATTTGCCTAGGAAATTATGGAAGGAGAGGGTTTTGAGGCCGTATCTCAATCAACATCATCTAGAGATACATATTTAAGAGTAATCGGTTAACATCCGCACTTTTTTTCTACTTTCAACATGACTAGATGAGGGGCAAAATTCGATGGTATTCATAAGTCTAGTTAGTCTGGTCCTGACACCTTTTTTATCAGTCACAAAATAGGGAGTCTATAATAACAAGTGTAATTGAACATGCATTTAGATAGGGAAGGACCGAACCACCCCAAACCGACTGTTGCTAGCAACATAAAGGCTCCCGCAGTCCTCTCTCTACTGAATAGCCCATACCCAAAACGAGTCAATTTGTGTTCACAAGTTAATTCTGATTGGAGTTATTTCTCGTGTGTTTATGTGTATTTGCAACATTTTCACATAGAGCTTTGATTTGTACATTACATATATAAATGGCGCCCAACGTGGGGCACGAAAAAACTTAACAGTTTTTTCTGCTCTATCTACCCGGAAGATTATTAGAGTTCATTAATTCAAAAAATTTAAAGTTCTTAGATGGAGTAAAACTAGATCTATAAATAGTGTATAGGGTTATTCTGGATTATTTCGGTTATTTGAGGATTAACAGTTCGAATATACTGACCGTTTAATACCTGTATGCCATTTTATAAACTAGTGGAGTTCTTTCTAAGAAATTTATAGATTTTCCGAAGTCTTGTACAATATTTTAAATATTTTTAAGTTCTACAATACGGTAACAGCTACTAGTGTACATAAAAAGGAATTCATATATTGTGCTGTATGCGAATATTTGACCGATGTACATTAGATATAGTTAAAGAAAATACGTGTTATTAGCTGTGGTATTTAAATTTAGAAATATATTTAATATTGTTCAATACTCCATAGCCCAGTTTTTCTATTTAATGTTAATCGATTTGATTCTATTTATTTCAATTATAACATAAACTAATGATCCTTAAGAAAACACCCATTTGAATATTGTTTATACTTAATATAAAAAAAATACTTTTTTAAAGGTAATTGAGTTACGTTTTTGAATGTTATCTGAATTTTCTAATATTATTAAACTGAACGATCAAACAACAAAAAAACGTTTAATGTAGATAAATATAAATTTAAAACTATTGAATTGAAAATATTTGTTTTTCGTGAAATTTGTTTTACAAAAGTGGTGAAAAAGATTTAAAAATCAATTCATTTTAGGTATCAAGATTTGTATCTATATGTTGTCAAACTTTGTTTTATTTTTAATGTTTAAAAATTTTCATATAACATGCGGTTTTTCATATTCTTTCGTTTTATTCGTTATAATCAAACACGAACACATTTTCTGTTGATACAATTGCATTTTATAATTTCAATATCGTTTTTGCTTCCACCCTACTAAATTTCGTAAACCTAAGCTAAAAAAATTTGGTTATTTTTTTTTTTTTTTGTTACAATCTATGTGTTGAGAAAAATTTGAAGAGTAAGTTCCACAGTGTATGGTAGCTATTCATTGCTTCACAACAACTGAAATAAAGACTATTTCCGTATTTTGCTTGATCTGATTACAATTAAAATTTTAGTGAGTTTTATTATTGAATTAAAGACAAGTTAGTATTGCGTATTTGAATCTTGCTAGAGTTTATTAAGAACTCGAATGATCTGGTTTATTAGATAAACAGATATTGGAAACTTAGCTATTTCTGTTATGTCCTATTAACTTCAGTCGATCGAGATAAACTTGCTTGCGTGTTTTGACCAAACCCTTAATACTTTTCAATTTGAAAATTTATAGTTTGATAATTTGTTACTGAATTTTATTCATATATTCAAAATGTCGGTAGACAGAACTCCTCCACCAGCAAATATTCCACCACCATTGCCTCTGGCTCCGATTTACATAGAGCCTTCGGTTTGTCATGTGTGTACGGAAACAATGGTCGAAGGAGATGATTGTTTAATCATTCATGAATGTTCGCACGCGTTCCATAGATCCTGTATTGAGTCACATCTTTCTACCAGTTCTGAATGCCCGGTATGCAAACGTGCATGTCGACTTTGTGACTTACGTAGATTGGTAATAAACGCTAATGCTGCAACATTTAGACCAACCATTAAGAAAAAAGGCAGGGGTGCTATGGCACGAACCTACAATACACGTTCAACTTCAAACCGTAATCTTTTTCAAGAATCCGATCCTTCTAATACTGGCGAGACCAGTATGTCTCTGGGAAATGAACCTGAAAACACACAACTAGCTACCAATGATATTCTATTAGACACAACTGGAAATAATAATAACCGTATAAATTCTCCAATTCAAAATCCAGAACATTTAATAAGAACACCGTCTAACAATAATAATTCTAGTATTGATTACGATCAAATTAATCGTTTAATCGAAGCCAATATTACGAAACTTTTGCAAAATATGAATATTATGCAACCAGTTAGCAACAACAATAATCAAAATAACAACAATGCCAATACACATCAAAATGGTTATGGTTCGCAACGTCCAAATACCCAAACCAATGTCAACATTCCTTATATTTTCTCACCATTCGCAAATTCCAATTCTAATACTGGTACAATACATGCAGACAAGGTTACCTCCGTGATCCAGAATTGGAACCTCAAATTCGATGGTTCATCAAACGGATTGCATGTAGAAGAGTTTCTGTATCGTATTAAATCATTAACCAGGGATACATTCAATAGTGATTTCACTATTATCTGCAAGAACTTGCATATCCTCTTAACAGGAAAAGCCCGCGATTGGTACTGGCGGTACCATAAGCAGGTCCAATCTGTAAACTGGGATGATTTTTGTGATGCCCTGCGATGCCAGTATAGACAATATAAAAGCTCTTTTGATATCCGAGAGGAAATCAGAAACAGGAAACAAAAGCCTGGAGAGTCATTCGATTCCTTTTTCGATTCCGTATTGGTAATTATGGATCGTCTCCCGGCGCCCATGTCTGATTCTGAATTGATCGAAATACTAGCGAGGAATCTGCGTCCTGATATCCGCCAAGACTTATTATACGTTCCCATACACTCGATTTCACACTTACGAAAACTCGTACAAATGCGAGAACATTTCTTAAATGATGAGAGCGTTCGCAAAAATCTTTTTACTCGCAGCCAAAATCAGAATATGCCACGTAGATATCTATCTGAAATAGATTCAACGAATACTAGTGACAATGTTCACGAAGTTGAAGAGTTAGCTTGTTCTGTTGACGCTGTACAGGGTCATGAAGTTGTGGTCAAGTGTTGGAACTGCGATGAGGTAGGCCACCACTGGGAGAACTGCCTCAAAGACAGGACCATATTTTGTTATGGTTGTGGCAACAAAAATGTATATAAGCCTAACTGTAGCAAATGCGCAGCAAGAAAACTCAATAGTTCAAAAAACTATCGGCCGATAGGTCCTCCAAAGGACATGAACTAAGTCCTAATACAAAACAAAATTTCATTTCAATTAAAGTAAAGTCCAAATGTGACAAAGAAACTCTTACAGATTTCAAAATACCCTGCTATGACAATTTATCCCTTGTTTGTAACCAAACTGAAAAAATTACTCTGCTAGAACGTCCTAAAACCTATACCAATGAACCAAAACTTGAAATATCGAAACTTATTACACCAAAACTTCCATACCATGAAAGATTACAATTGTACATGCAAAAACGCAATGAAATATTTAACCTGTCTGAAATTACAGAATGTAAACCATCGAAATCTAAACGGTCAACTGTTCGTCTTAGAAAATATTACAAAATGCGAAAAACTTGTCGAAAACTTCTTATTTCTGCTATTGTGTCAAATCCAAAGGATTTGCGTTATTACGCAAAAGTGAAGTTTTTGAATTTTGATGAATATGGTCTCCTTGACACCGGGGCCAATATTAGTTGTTTAGGTTCAGATTTAGCAGAGATTGACTTTTCGAAATTCCCATGTTATACAAAATGTAAACATTACGTTAAAACGGCTGATGGTCATTTACAATCAGTTTGTGGATGGCTGGATGTAGAAATCTTCTTTAAAGATCAATCGAAAACCTTAAAACTTTTTATTATACCGTCGATATCTCAGAGATTGATTTTGGGAATCGACTTTGTGAAGTCCTTCGCTTTGTTTCCAGACATAGTTGGGTCTGTAGATATACTTACTTTTAATAATTCGTCCAACTCGTCCTTGTTCGATTTATCCGTTCTTTCAGGTAAGTCCGAAGTCCAGTCCGATAAAACAAATCAGTCTAAAACACCATTAGACGAAAATTCCTATCCACTTTCGCATAGCCAACGTTTGCAGCTTAACGCTGTCATTAACTTGTTTCCGAATTTTGAAAAACAAGGGTTGGGAAGAACCAGTCTTATTAGACACTCAATTGATGTTGGCAATGCCTCACCAATTAAGTCAAGGTTCTATCCAGTTTCTCCTGCGGTCGAGAAACTGATGTACGGTGAACTAGATCGTATGTTGGCACTAGGGGTGATAGAACCTTCCACATCCCCCTGGAGTTCACCTATGCGTTTGGTTTTAAAACCAAACAAGGTCCGATTGTGCCTAGATGCACGTAAGGTTAATGCTGTAACCATAAAGGATGCATATCCGCTTCCAAATATTGAGGGAATATTCGCAAGGCTTCCAAAGGCGAATCTCATAACGAAGCTAGATCTGAAGGATGCCTATTGGCAGATTGCCTTAGATGACAAGTCCAAAAGTCTGACAGCATTCACAGTCCCGGGTCGGCCACTCTACCAGTTTGTAGTTATGCCGTTCGGGCTGTGTAATGCTCCACAGACTATGTGCAGACTTATGGACGAAATCATTCCTCCGGACTTAAGGCACTGTGTCTTTGGGTATTTGGATGATCTAGTTATCGTTTCAGAAGATTTCGAAACTCATCTTGAAATACTAGTACGTATAGCCTCGCAATTTCGAAAAGCTAATCTCACGTTAAACATATCTAAGTCCAAATTTTGCGTAACATCGGTAAACTATTTAGGATTTGTGATAGGAAACGGGGGGAATTACAACGGATCCCGAAAAAGTTCAAGCGATAAGAGATTGGCCCACTCCCAAAAACTTAAAACAAATTCGCGGTTTTCTTGGATTGGCGGGGTGGTATCGTCGTTTTATTGAAAATTTCTCAACGGTCGTTTTTCCAATCACGGAGTTGTTATCGACGAAAAAGGTGTTTAAATGGACAGAAGAAGCCCAGAAAGCATTCGAAAATGTTAAACTCTTGCTCACCTCCGCTCCTGTCTTGACAAACCCGGACTTCCGAAAGAAATTCTTCCTTCATTGTGATGCTAGTGATTTCGGTATAGGTGCAGTTCTGGTGCAATTGGACGACCAAGGCCAAGAACGTCCAATTGCATACATGAGTAAAAAGTTAAATTCAGCACAACGAAATTACAGTGTCACAGAGAGGGAATGTTTGGCTGCAATGGAAGCTATCAAGCGATTCCGGTGTTATTTGGAAATGCAGGAGTTCGAGGTGATCACAGACCACTCTAGTTTACTGTGGTTAATGCGGCAACCAGATCTCAGTGGCCGGCTTGCAAGATGGGTGTTTAAGCTGCAGTCCTATAATTTTTCAATTAGCCATCGTAAGGGCAAAGATAATGTGGTCCCCGATGCATTATCACGGATTCCAGTAAACGAAGTTGCTGCCTTAGAAATAATTGAACCAGAGATTGATCTTGAATCTCCCTATTTTTCAGATCAAGAATATTTAAATCTGATACAAAAGTACAATGAAAATTCAGCGAAATATCCAGATATAAAAATCCTAGATAAATACATTTATTATCGAACCGAGCATTATAATGGCAACGAAAACCAAGAGCAGTTGTGTTGGAAACTATGGGTACCAGTAAGACTACGTAGAGATACTATCTCAAGAGCGCACGATACGCCTGTGACAGCACATGGTGGGATGGTGAAAACACTGGAGCTATTAAGGAGAAACTTCTTTTGGCCTGGAATGGTCCGAGATGTTCGCAATTATGTTCGACAATGTGAAATCTGCAAAACCACAAAAGCCCCTAACTTTGTAATGAAGCCACCAATGGGTAATCAAAGCGTTTCCATTCGACCATTCCAGCGCCTCTACATAGATTTACTGGGCCCATACCCACGCAGTAAATCCGGCTACATTGGCCTCTTAATCGTGCTTTGCCCCTTAAGAAAATTTACGTCGAATCTAATCCAAGAGTTCTTACAAAAACACATTTTTCATGTATATGGCGTACCAGAGTTCATTGTCAGTGATAATGGGAGCCAATTTCGCGCCAACGATTTTAACGCTTTTCTGACGGTCAACGGAATCAATCATACTTATACAGCGTTATACTCCCCCCAATCCAACGCATCGGAACGTGTCAACCGATCTCTTATCGCTGGAATTCGAGCTTTTTTAAAGACTGATCATCGTCTTTGGGACGAAAAGCTCAGTGAGATCAGTTGTGCCCTTCGTAATTCCTACCACCAGTCCATAAATACCTCACCTTTTTATGCTTTGTTTGGATTTAATATGATTACGCACGCTACTTCATACAACCTACTACGTCAGGTAAAACTTCTAGATGAACCCTCGGCAAATATTGCCCATGCAGATAATCTTCAAATTGTACGGGAGAATATTCGAAGATCGATTAAAAAAGCACATGATCGGAATACTCACCAGTACAATCTTCGATCAAAACCCCAATCTTTTCAGGTAGGTCAGGAAGTATTTCGGCGAAATTTTGTCCAAAGTAATTTTGAAAAGCGTTTCAACGCAAAATTATCACCTCTTTTTATTAAAGCACGAATCAGGGAAAATGTTGGAAACAACTATTACATATTAGAAGACCTTCAAGGAAAAATAATAGGAACCTATCATGGAAAGGACATAAGACCATAAACTCCCTTTTTTCCATTCAATTTTACATCGCATTGCTCTAAAATTGCTTGGTTTTGTAATGGTCATAGTCAAACAATGTTTGTTTTTCTTTTGCTTAGTAAATTTATTTCATTTGGAAATGGTGTTGTTCATAATATCCAGAGAAAAAAAAAAAAAAAATTTGCAGTAGTGCAAAGTGAATGTAATTTTCATGACTTTTCTGAAAACACTGCTAATACAACTCCTTCTAAATGCATTCCTAAATGTAACAATAAAAATTCAACTAATTTCATTAAAACGTCAAAACTTAATTCAGATTGTTGATTTAAGCAAATGAGATTTATGTGTTATTATAAATAATTTTGAATATTAATAATTTTCAATATTTATTATATTTTCCTGTAAACCATTTAAAATGTGTTTCGAAAATATATACAAATAGTTTGAACCCATGAAACATCGATTTCGAGTCATCGAATTTGCATTAATTCGATTATTCGAAATTCTCGAATAAACACATGATCTCAAATGACAAGCTAATGTTAAAATTATATTATGAACCACTTCATCAACACTTGCATATCTGATTAAATTACATCGTTGTCATGTAACTTTTTGCTGGGACAAAGAAATCACATATTCGTGATTAACAAACAAAACATTTACCAAAGGCATTTAAAGCAAAAACATTATGTTCTTTGTTTTTATTTCCAAAAAAATATCACTTAAAATGTTAGTTTCTATCAGAATTTTATCAGCATGTACAAAAATCCCATCAGTAGATTTCGTGGCCCCTGAACTGAAAATCATAAAAGACAATTAACTTAGTTAATGGTCATTAGCAAAACTTAGAATAACAAGTGTTTACAAACCTTATAAAAGAGTAATTTTGCTGAATAGAGTCAACATTAAGAGTTTCATTGGTTTGTTTAATCAATTAATTATTATTTGTATTAAGCAAGATTTTTTTTTTATTTTATAACATTATTGTTGGACTTTGCATCTTTAAACATATGTATTCAGCTATTTTCTTTTGATCTTGTTTTATCTTAATATCTACTGTTCATCATTCTTGCTGTGGTATGTTTAATAACAGATGCACTGCATTATCATTCATATCACTTTTAGTTTTGTCATGCATGGAAAAATATGTCTTGATATACAGTCAATCAATTAAATAAATTAAAATAGAAATTATAATTACAAATTGAAAGGAAAAAGAAAATAATAAAAACTAGAGATTTTACTTAAATAATCTTACTACGATTTTTTTGTTACAATCTCAACTACTTAATTTTTTAATATTAAACAAATTTCTGGTGATTTTTATTCTGGCGATTTTAAGCATTAATATGCAAAAAGTGATATCCACAAAACGATTTAATACTATTTCTATACAACAGTATTTTTGCACTCTTTCTACCATTCTTGATCCCGTTTTAAGATATTTCTAGAACCAGAATTTACTTTTGATTAATATTGGATTGGCGTCTTTCTTTTGGCTTTTTGACTTCAACCTATTAAAACCTAAAACGTGCTAAGTGATTTTGAAGAAATTATAATTTTTACAAAAAGTGTATAAAGTGTTATAGTTAACAACTTAAATTTAAATTTCAACAAGTGAAAATATAATAATCCAGATATCGGGTAATATTTCTTATTGAATTTAATTCTATTTCGAAATGAAATGAATTTAAACAAATTTTATAGAAAATTTGCCTAAAAAACTGTACTGGACCACGTTTCACTTTCAAGTCCCGTTGTTATATAACTGTACTGGACCACGCTTCCTTTCTCAAGTCCCGTCGTTACATAATAGGCATACTTGCCTGGGACTTGGAAATAACAGTTGGAAATTTTAGTGTCTATATTGTTCGTCTTGGAAAGATTAGGTAACTATATTATATGGCATAATATAAAAATTTCTAAATTCTAATGGGAAACAATTCTTATACATTAGATTTAAACGATTTAAACGACACATATCTCATGAAAAAGTGGTAACAACATCCAGCAGTATTCAACATTTCAACGTGATTTGTAACCAACTAAATACAAGAAAAAAAAAGTCAAAGGAAGAATTAGGCTTCAAGATAAATTCGGAAAAGTAGCAAAAGCTTGGAAGCATCTTCAGAAAAGTTTGCCAAAAGTCCAGTAATCAAAATCTAACAATATAATTTAAATTATTTAACAAAATCCTAAATATTACATATCCAATTCCAATCTAACTTAAATTTTAAAATCACATTTCATACATATTGAGATAACCTAAATTTTTGAAAATGGTTTCTTAAAAACTAAAATAACTCAACCAAAACTTAAAATCATTCGTAAAAAAACTAAACTAATCTAAACAAATCAATCCAAAATTTCTTAATTTTCTAATATTTTAACATGAAAATTCTAAAAGTTTAAAAACAAAGCTCATATTTTCAAAATTATTAACTTAACCTAATATCACAATTTATTTCTTAAAAACTAACTTTAAAATGTAACATAACAATGTAAAATCTTCAAAATAAGTTCTTAGAAAATTTACAATTTGATAACAACATGAAATGAATTAAACAGGCTAAATATTGCACCAAAAATAAACAAAATGTTAAATCAAATTATAGTTTAGGCATGATGAAAACTTTTGAATTTTGAAGATTTTTTCTTTAGACTTGAAACCTTAATGAAACATCACAGATCTAAAATCTAATTAACCTATGTAAAGAAAATTGTATTAAATTCTCTTTACTCTTAAAACCTAGTATTGCACAATATTTATATTTAGTTATTATATTCTAATACTAACCTAAATGGCAAACTATAGAATAATGCAAATCAAAATTTAATTTACTCATTCAAAAAGAAGTCATCAAAACCACATCAACGAATTATTGCTGGAGGCCTTCATCAAGTCGGTGTGATGCGGTAAGTCAGTTAAAACATTTTTTTTATTATTATTAGTTTTGCATTATCTTTAGTAAGAAACAACATTCAACATAAGGCAATGCAGAGTATCATTATGTTAAATAACAGTGTTCATTATGTTATTGCTTAATTAAACTGATCTCTTTTGCAAATTATGTTTACTCTTGAATTAAATCTCTTTGTGATAACTAACACTTACTTGTTGAATTTTGTTTCTTAGTTTTCTTTTGTTTTGCCAAAAATTATTACTCTTTAAAACAAGAAAGATATTTGTAATTTAAACCTTTATGAACCTTATGCTAAGATTTTGTCTTTGCGGAATATGAAACATATAGTTTATTCTTTCATTATACTTCTATTGAAAGTTAATTTAAATAGTTTCTAATAGAACATTATATTTAAATTTTGTCTATATTCTAATTTATTAATATGGTTAATGGGCTGAATAAATAATTTTGTAAAATGGAATGCTAATTTAAAATTTTCGGGTGTTTTCTTCAAATGGATCGAATAGTTTAATGTATAGTTGAAAGTTTAAGCTCGGGATTTCTTTAATTTGCCTAGGAAATTATGGAAGGAGAGGGTTTTGAGGCCGTATCTCAATCAACATCATCTAGAGATACATATTTAAGAGTAATCGGTTAACATCCGCACTTTTTTTCTACTTTCAACATGACTAGATGAGGGGCAAAATTCGATGGTATTCATAAGTCTAGTTAGTCTGGTCCTGACACCTTTTTTATCAGTCACAAAATAGGGAGTCTATAATAACAAGTGTAATTGAACATGCATTTAGATAGGGAAGGACCGAACCACCCCAAAACGACTGTTGCTAGCAACATAAAGGCTCCCGCAGTCCTCTCTCTACTGAATAGCCCATACCCAAAACGAGTCAATTTGTGTTCACAAGTTAATTCTGATTGGAGTTATTTCTCGTGTGTTTATGTGTATTTGCAACATTTTCACATAGAGCTTTGATTTGTACATTACATACAACAGAACACCCCGAAAAGTGCCTTTGAGCTCATAATTACGTTAAATATAACTATATCTTGATGGAAAGCAGCACAAATAAGTTTTATATAAGCCTTGATGACCGTGCCAAATTTCATAAAGATCGGGTCTCATTTGACCCTAGCTCCCACACAAAGTTCCCTTCAGAAAATGACTTGAACGTGCAAAATTCACATATAAATACTAATATCGCGATGAAATCTAGCACAAATAAATATTATATATAAATATAAATCTATTCACAAAATCTTATCGAGATCGGTCCATATTTGGCCCAAGCCCCCGATATAAACCATTTTTCAGAAAATTAGTTTTTCGTCCATAAATTGCTTAAATGTATCGAAAACAAGGATGTATTGAAGATAAATACTTTATTATGGAAAATAAATCACATTTAACATTCACAACTGGTGTAGGGTATCATATGGTCGGCCACGCCAGACTATATTTTCTTAGTTGTTTTTTTTTTTATTCCATATGAGCTCATGAGATGTTCTCGCTTATAAGTATAATTTTTAGAATCATTAAACAGACTTGTACAAATTTTCAAAATGATTGCTACAAACTTATCATATTTAATAATATTTGAGCAGTATTTTGGAGGATTACTTTTGTGGTGGCTTAAAGAAATCGTGTGCCGATTCTAACCATTTTTAACAAACCTTGTTAAAATAAAATATCTGTGAAAATTGTCAGCTCCTTAACTACTTCCGTACGAATTCTTTAGGGCTTAAAACACACGACCAGATAGAAAGACAGACGTTATGACAGACGGACGTAATATAATAACAACCTATAATACATACTACTGAAGGTATTTTTCTAATATTTGGCCCCGTCTTAAGCTGAAGTTTTCTTTGATTGAAGTTTTAAACTCAATGAGATATATAAGGTGCAGGGTTCAAAGTTCTCAAATACGTATATGTATAGCTAGGTGAAAACGCTTATATTGTCGTTTAGCCATGACATTTTTTTGTTATATAAATTTCTGACGACTTCATGCCTAAATTTATCTCTTAAATAATAAACATTAAATATTACGTATACGACCTGCTGTCCACAAAATTATTTATTTTTAAACTCACAATAAAAATTGTGGGTTAAATTGATCAATCGATCCAACTAGTAGCTATTTGTCTATAGCAAGGATAATAAGGCCAAGAGGAGAAATAAATAGGATAAGATTTTCACACTTTAAACACTAAGGAAAAATTCTACTTTAACTTTGAATAATTTATAACTAACTGTCTTATTTATAACAATTTATGAATATAGGTTTATATAGCGAAATTTGTATGAAAATTTGTCTTACCTTTGATAAATTGTTATTAATAAGTCCTTAAATATTTAATCTAAATCTGGTTTCATTATTCAAAACTCTTGATTTCTTTAAAGTTTTTTTTTTTTTTTTGAGAAATTGTAAAATGGTATAAAACAAAGTCAAAGCCGTTTTCCCCAAAATTTTCTATTTTATATTAAGAAAGCCTTGTATTTTACTCTCTATGGTAATTTTACAATGACTATAAATAGTTTTGTCATTCTCCTTGTAACATATGGAAATATTGGGTTTAAATTCCATGTTAGTCCTTTTGTCTTTTAGTCCTAAAAAATTTATTAATGTTTCAGTTTTTTACGTTCAATGTCACCTGAATAAATTCACATTCAGTAAGAAGCTCATATTTTTAGTTTCATTCGTTTAGCTTCCACATTATAGAAAATTTCGAAAGTACTATTTGAAAAAAAGTACTATATAATACCTCTTATAAATTCTCATTTAATCAAGAATTTTATGTTCAATATTATATACAATTCAAAAAATATAATTTGATGAATGAAAAAGTACCAAAAGTCCCTTTCAGTTGATTCTCATTCACTAAGGTCCCTACGTTTTAATTTTTATATTTCTATGTTCAATATCGTAAAATATCAAAAAGTACCATCGGAAAAACGAAAAAGTATAAAAATCTCTCTTTATAAATTATCATTTAATAAGGACCGTGTCTCATGTGTTCTGGTTAACCATTATAGAGAATCCAAGTACCATTTGAAGAATAGAAAATACCAAATAGTTCCCTCTTACAGAATATTATTCAGTCAAGACCATGTATATTAAAATTTATGTTCCTAGGTTGAATATTTTAGAAAATTCAAAAAGTACCATTTATGAGATAAAAAGTACTAAAAAGTTTTCTCTTAAAGAATCTTATTCAATGAGGACCGTGTATGTTTAATAATCATGTGTTTTGAATTCATATTAAAGAACATACAAAGAGTATCATTTGAAGAAAGAAAAAGTACCAGAAGTGGAATAAATTTTACCTAAGTGGAAAGTACTAATAAAAAGAGTACAATTTTTCCCCTTTTCGCTTAGAAATTTACTTTTTCGAGAATTAAGTTTACAAAATGTTCCGTACTTAAATCTATATATCACAGATAAAACTCAAACGATTCAAATCTTCCTTCATTTGTTCCAGAAAAATAGTGCTTTCAAAAAGTACCAAACAATTTACTCGAATTTGGTCCTATATAGGCCTTAGTACTCGAATTCCAAAATAATATACCAATAGCTTATTTTGTGTGAGTAAATAAACTACTTTCTTAAATTTCATAAAAATTGGCTCAAAGAGTTTGAATAAAATTAAATTTCCCGTCTTTCCCCTTTTTGGTACTTTTTTCCCCAGTGAAATAGCAAACATTTTGTTTCAATAAATATTACAGAGTTAGTCCGTAATTTAATGGGAATACTTCAATAAAAAAATACTTCAAAAGAAAAAGTTTTCTTAATGTGCTAAAAAAAGTACCAAAAATACAGTTTTCTCCCTTTTACACCCAAAAAGGGCTAAATTTAAAAAAAAAGTACAAAACAGGTGTCTCCTAATTTTGGGAGATATATTCAAAATATTTACAAAAATTTTATTTTGTTTATTAGTTAAAAAGTTATAAAGGGCCAAAAAAGGTACCAAAATCACCTTTGTTACACATTTTCACCCCTTAAAAGTACGAATTTCAAAAAAGTACCAGACACCCATCTGCTTATTTTAAGAGTAGATATATGTGCATTTAAAATTTTTCTTGTATTTTTCTTGAACTGAATACTTAAATGTCAGTTGTCACTTGAGTAATCCAAAATACAAATCTCTAATTTTTTTCCAAATTTACAACTTATTGTGCTTATAACTTCCACACGGAATCACACTCGGCATTTATTTTAAACAAAACTATTTTAGAGTGAAATCAATAAAACAAGCGCTAGTGCAAAAATTTGAAATGTTCGGAAACTCAACGAAATGAAAAGCAAATGTAAATTTTGTATATTAATAACTCCAATTCTATTATAAATTTTCTTATATGAATAAGAGTGTAGTAGTTTCCTTGGAGTATTTTCTTGTACCCTACACCACTATACTGAGGAGGGTATTATGCGTATGTGTTTGTTACACAAAAAAAAAATATTGATCCTACACCCACCTTAAAGTATATGTCCATCCCTCCGTTCATTCGTCTGTCTGTCTGTCCGATCGTCCGTATGTCCGTCCGTCCGTTTGTCCGTCTGTCCGTTCGTCCGTCTGTCTGTGTGTACATGTGAGCACAAGCACACTACAGGTCGCAATTATTAAGATAATTTGATGAAATTTTGATCCGAGGATAATGAAATTATATATGTAAGTCTAAATATTAGTGTTGGTTTTCGTAATGATCAGGCCTTTTATAAGGATCGGATCAAATTTTGCCATGCCCCCATATAAATTCTTTTTAAAAAGCCCGTTCTTATACTCAACAACAGTATAGTGGAGTGATTACTATTCGTTTGTATCACTCAATTTAAAATATACCAGTCATCTTAAAATATACCAGTCGGTTCAGAAAATTACTTTTTACTTTCTATTAAGCTATGTCCGTCTGTGTGTCCATGTAAACCTAGTTCGCTCAATACATCTGGCAATTTTCAAGACTATTTGAAAAAATGTATTAAAAAATTATAATTGGTGTAGGGTTGGCCTCGCCCGACTATAGTTTCTTACCTGATTTTCTTTAAAAAAGATTTTTTTTTTGAGGATTTTTGATCCGCAAGATCATTTTTTAGGTATAAGAAATAAATATATTGCACGCAGAAAAAATTTTCTTATAATTCTGTGGTTTTTGGAAAAATGTTCAGTTTAATCTAAATAAATTGTCCAATTTTCTTGTTTAATATCTTAACTGCCAATTAAGATAACAATCTTAAATTAATCCAACAAAAAAGCAAAGCTTTATTCACAGACTCCTTGCAATCTACATATATATTAACCTCAACATTAATATCCTTACAATAAATACAAAATAAATGCCATTACATACATATATTTTCTTGCAACAACTCATTGTATTGTAATTAAAAATGTTCTTTGGCATTTAACAGAAAAAAAATAAATAAATAAACAAAAATTTCAACAATTAAAGAAAACAAAATACACAAAACGACTTGTATTTTAACCTTTTAACAATGA